AGTTGTGGCTGGTCTCCAAGGTCTCTTCTGCTCTGCCGTTCTCTGATGACTCACTCTAAGATGAATTCTGAGGAACACACAAATAGTTACCTTCACTTTAAAGGTTAGAGGGGAGAAAACAGACCTCAGTGTCCAGGTATGTCAGTGCCACCACATCCCGGGCTGCAGAGCATAATGCACTTCTGAAGATTAAACCAAGCAGGCTGACTCAAATCCTGTTGAAACGTCAGGCTTCAGTGCAGGATGTTGTTGGACATCTGCATTCTTTCTGTTTTTTAAACAACGTTACTCTGCCGAGGATGAATCTGTGTCATCATCTAATGGCTCTTGTCATTTCAGTGTGGTGATCAAGGAGGAAAAATGAAAGTACTTTAGGCGGAAAAACAGATAAGATAGGAAGGCATTTCATAACCAGACTGCAAGGCTGTCTGGAGTATAATACAGATCTATCAATAATTCAGTTAAAACAGTTTACCTGCTTTACATGAGTGGGTTCAGTTCACTGATCTTCATTCAAGTTCACACTAAAGTTATTTCACTGCAGGCTGCACATTACACCACACAGACCAAAGCATTATAGATTTTTTTTTTCCAAATGTAATATACAAGTCCAAATTGATTGCAGCCAAACATAAATTTAGTCAAATCTTTAATACACTCTATTAAGGTGTGAATGAGACTTTAGAGCTTTGTCTTAGCTACAGAGCAGCTGGGACCGGAGTTGAACCAATCGCAAAGAGCTGGAATAGAAAGTTGCCTTTGGACATGGTATTTATTCTCAATAGTTGAGCATCTAAAATAATGAACTTTCCCCCCTCAAATGTAAAATGAACAATTACCTGTTATTATAAAATGACAAATTTTACAAGGGGGCTAGTTTGGTTTTCTTCCCCCACAAAGCTAACCTCTATTACACTGCCTGCCCACAGGCACATGCCTTACGGTATCATTGGCTGTATCTGTATGTCCAATGCTCCATTTTCCTAGAGCAAAGTTATCTTTCAAAACACAGGAAGAAAGGCACCAGCCATTTTTCCCACCTCCAGTTGAGGTGAGAGAAGTATATGCCAACAGCCCTGCCAGGTAGTTGGGACAATCTGCATTACTCCAGAATGGCTAGGCAAAGTTTAGAATGAAAAATGTAAAATACATCTTTATGCTTTCAGAATTATTTAGGCTTTAAATGATTTGGAGTTCCCTTATATGGAAGGCTTTATATGAAAAGACTGGATAAACCTGTTCTGCACTATAGCCAAGGGTGCATACTCAGAAATATGATCAGGATTTAGCACTGGTTGCACTGTAGTATGATAAATACAGGCTACGTGGGAGAGTCCCTGGGCTTCCTTAGTTTGACATGACTCTCTGGGTATGTGGCTGGGAAAGGGACAGTTGGGGGAATGGAAAGAGGGGGGAAATAAGGAGGCTTGATACTTTGGAGAGGGGCTAGGAAGGCTTATTTTACTTTTTTTTTTGCTGGCTGGTATAGGGATTGAACCCCAGATCTTGGTGTTAGCAGCACCACATTCAAACCAACTGAGCTAACCAGCCAGTAGGATGGATTATTTTAATCTGTACTGTCCAGTATCATAGTCACTAGTCACATATGTCTGGTCTCAATTGAGATGTTCTATAAAAGTAAAAGCCAGCCGGGTTTTTAAGATTTAGTATGAAAAAAAGAATGAAAAAACATCTCATCAATAATTTTTATATCTGTCGCATGTTGAAATGACATTTGAAAATGATAAGAATTGGGGTATGTTGGATTAAATAACACTATCAAAATTGATTTCACCCATCTCTTCTTGCTTTTTGAATGTGGCTACTCAAAATTTTTAAATTACATAAATGACTTACATATTTCCAGCAAATAGCACAGCTCTATACCCATTTTATATGGTGGAATTATGGTTAATTTTTACTTTCTTGCTTGTGTTTCTGTATTTTCTTTTTCTTTTCTTTTTTAAAAAAATTTTAACTTCTCAATATACATTGTAGTTGATTTTCGTGACACTTTACCCGTTCCTCTTGCCCTGTTTCTGTATTTTCAAACTGAAAATATGAGGAACAGACAATATTGTGTCTTGAAGAAAAATATATATACCATGGATTTTGGAGTCTGGCAAGTATGTGTCTCAGCTACACCACAACTAACCTTCTCTGAATCTCAACTTCCTCATTTGTTAGATGAAGATAATAAATGTTTTGACTTGACCAGATCAAAGCCTACCAGGTTGCTGTCAAGAGTGAGAAATGTCTGAGAAATTAGCAGAGGGTGCTTAGCACAGAATCTGGAATAGGGCAAACAATAAATATTCAGCATTGTTCTTGATTATATCTCAAGACCTGTCAGATGCATAATTTCTTGATCCTATTTCTAATTCAGATCTGTCTCTCTCTTGTTCCTCAAGATCATACTTGCTGTCATATCTTCCTACTTCTATACCCAGAAAGCTGTACTTCTCCTTGTTACTGAGAATCTCTGGTGTGGTTTCCCATTTTCTGCTACTCATTCAGGCTGAGCTATTACCCACTTATTTACTTTAGCTCATATCAATTTCAGAACAAGAATTTTATACTTGCTGGCTTAAACTACCAAACCAAGCTACAACTCTTTATTTGCCTCTGTCCCTCGCCTCCTACCTGGATGCTGGGTCTTGCTTTTTACCGAACTCTGCTTCTTTTGATGGGATGATCAGTCAAGGATAACGTATGCCAGGCAAGTGCATGTGGGAAACTAACAGAAGAAAGGGTCATGTAAACAAGAAATCAAGAGAATGAGGAGTGAAGAAGGAAAGTAATTTTATAACTTCTCTCCCCTTGCCCACAATCCATCTTCTTTTCTCACTGTCTTTGCCTGTTGGCTTTAAAAGCTGTGCTGTGTTCAGCCCTCAATAGGTACAAGGCACTTTTCATGGTCTTTCTAGATTCTCGCTGCCTGAAGTACAACCCCCCGCAGTGTAGCATGGCACACATCTAAAACTGTGTGATCAATTTCCATATTCTGGAAAATAAGTCCTCAGGTGAAGATGGTTGTACTTGTTCTCTGAAATTCAGTGACAGGGAAGAGAGGAAAAAAGGAAAACGCTGTGAAGACACGTTGCTTCCCCGGGTGTGGTAGGCTTCCTAGTTCCTCCACAAATAATGAGATGAACCTCTCAGTCAGAACTGCATGAGATGAAAACAAGGAGCAGGAACTTAAGGATGAATTTGGAGTAGCACAGGTGGCTGGAGGCATCTGTGCACTGCAAAGCAGTGAAAAAGTCCCTGATTTCCTATGCAAGTTTTTTTTTTTTAAGATCAAAAAATGCTGATTTTTTTTTTTTTGTTTCCATCCAGCAGCTGTAACTAGGTGATTCAGAATATACTCTCGATTTAAGGTGGTATTTTTTGCCTTTTCATCAGATCAATATGTTACTTTACCTATTTTATTTTTAGATTTACCGAGTGTTCTCAGAGTAGGAAATTCAAAGAAAAGAAATAAGCAAATTGGTTTGTATTTCAAAGCTTGGGCTGAGTTTTGACAGGAGAAGCCCTTGGAAATTAATAAGGGATGAGAGTTTCCCAGACCCTCCTTGATGACATATAGGATTTGTGGAAGATTTGTTGTTGGGGGAGCTGAGTAATTTCAGCATCAGAGAACTCACCTAGGGTTGGTCCCTCCATTACCAGGCAAGGGATGCTTAGGTAAGTGTGTGTGCAGAAGAGCTAACCCTGGATGTGTGAACATGGCTGTTCTTCCTGTAGCATTTATTAATAAAACTTTACCATCAATCACAGTCAGGAAGCAATCATTGCCAACCATTGCTTCTCTGTGGTTTCCTAGCATATCAGAAGGCTTGAAAATGTGGATAAATTTTCCTTATTATTATATTATGATTCAAATTTAGGAAAGGGAGGAGGCATTCCTGAAAATGCAAATACCGCTTTAAGATATCAGGTCTACATGGGAACTTACATTCTTGTATCTTGGCTGCTTGAGAAAAGAGAGAGCACATGCTCTGCACATTCCCAATTTTCCTTTCCTTTGTCACTGTAGATAAACTCTCATGATACTGTGATTTCAGTTGTTTGCAGTCTATGTAGCATCTTTTTCTCTGTCAGCATTGCAGATTGCATAAGTTGAAATGCAAATATGTGGGCATGCAAACAAATGTACAGGCAGTCAACATTTGATCCACAGAGGGGGCCACTGAGTGTTGTCTCTTCTCTGGGGCCTGATCGTTTTCAGGCTGCTGACACTGCAGCTCAGTGCATGTTACGGGCTGAATCTGAATAGTTTTATATTTTCCATTGCCCCCCCCCCACTTGAGAGTGGATGAGATGATTTATCTAAAAGTGTCTGAAAAGAAACGGAGGTCCTGTTGCAGATAGCATCATGATTACAGGTGTGCACACCTAGCACTTATATATCCAAAGACACTTTCAGTGACAGGCTATTCCTCATTTTGCATCCCCTGAAATTTAATGCAAAATGTGTCATTAAATACGCTTCTTCATTACCAAAGGGATTCTACTTCCATTTGACTTTAAAATATCACTGGGTCTTCTCTGTGCAGACATCCTTTAAAATACAAATACTGTTTCATCTAATATGGCTTACTGTATGTATATATCTATTTCTTTAAAGCAAAAGACAAAACCAGATTTATGGACAACATAAAGTGCTTTCTGGATACACAAACATCAATGAAAACATTATTAAAATTAACAGGTGTCAACAGGTAAAAATAGACTGTCTAAAGCATTTAATAGTCTTTAACACAGCCAACTCCCCCCGGCTTGAAACAGTGTTAAATTCTCTTTTGCTAGTGGCAAAAGAAGCTGTCAAGCACAACATTGAAAAATTGGTACCATATCCTGGCCAGTAAGTACAGAACTGAGGGGCTAAATATTTTATGGTTTTTATTTTCTATTTTTTTTTTGTTGTTGTTGTTCTCATGCTGGGTTTTTTTTCTGATTTTTTTTTTAACCTCTCTCTTCTATTCTTGCCTGCTCAGGGCTGATTGTTGTGACATTGGCCGTATGCTGGATGCCCAACCAGATCAGGAGGATCATGACTGCGGCCAGGCCCAAGCACGACTGGACGAGGTCCTACTTCCGAGCGTACATGATCCTCCTCCCCTTCTCGGACACCTTCTTCTACCTGAGCTCGGTGGTCAACCCGCTGCTGTACAACGTGTCCTCGCAGCAGTTCCGCAGGGTGTTCGGGCAGGTGCTGCGCTGTCACCTGACGCTGCAGCACGCCAACCAGGAGAAGCGCCTGCGCGCCCACGCCGCCTCCACCACGGACAGCGCCCGCTCCACCTGCCGCGCGCTCATCTCCGCCTCCTCCAGGCGCGGGTCCTCTGCAAGGAGAACTAACAAGGCTTTCTTAAGCACTTTCCAGAGCGACGCCACGCCCGAGGCTAAGCGCCAGCAATTGAGTCTCCGGTCACCAGATCCCAACTCGGAGACAAAACCAGCTAATTCTGCCGCAGCGAATGGTCTTCAGGAGCATGAAGTGTGAATGTCAAGTAAGGAAGCCTCGAGTGGGCACCGGCCCTCCCACACCAAAGCCGCACTACCCTCACACAGCAGTCACAAAACAAACTGTGCCCCGTCAGGGACAGAATGGAAGCTAGAGGCTTTGGAAAAGGCAGGTGCCCACCTCCGTGACTTCTAAGGGCTGATTCTGCCAGCTTGACCTTGACTCTGGTTACATGTCAGAGGGGTGAGCTCTGGCTCCACCCCCTCCCTTGAGTACACACTGAAGATTCAGTCAGACTGAATTTATTCAGAGCTTACAAAAATGTTTTACAAGGAGCTCTTTCGTTATTTGCAAAGGAACAAAAAGAGAACAGACTCCCCTCCCTACCCAGAATATAAGGACACCCAGAAGAAACTTGGGGAGGTGGGGGAGTGAGGCCGGAAGGACAGTGCAGGAGGGAGTGGCGACTCTTGCAGCTTCAGCAGTGTGCCAAGAAGAGGGCTAATTTGAGGAGCAGGACAGTGGTGGGGAGCCCCGGCCTGAGGGTCAAGGCAGAACTGCCCCTTTTCTTGGGCCTTGGCCCGTTGCAAAGAGGAGTGTTGCAGCAGCTGATGCACACTGAGTTCAGTTTCCCTGGGGAGCAGAAGGACTGGTACCCGGCCGAGGCGATGAGACAGGCTGCTGAGGATGCACACGACTTGCGGTACATGATCCCTGCAACACAGACCCAAAGGAGCTGGGTTAATGTGCGCCAGCCAAATCCGTAGGGACAGCTCTTCCTTACTTCCCCCACAGCCCAGACACTCGGGGACCAGGGGTGCCTCCCAAGTACACAAGGTATATGGTGAAAGAGGCAGTTGCCATTTCACTACTTTTGACAAAGTCGTTTCAACAGCTATTGTAGATGCCAGTACCACTGAATAAAGAGCTGTTAATATCAAAGTCTGGTTTTTAAAGTCAGAGTTCACACTGTGCACTAGACACAGAGCTTTTTATTTACTTTTTTTTTTTTTTTGGTTCAAACTGTCTCATGTCAGTGAGGACTACAAGTGATGCTTCTAGATCAGATCTCTGTTATTGCTTTGTAAGTGACCAAAGAGAGATGGCTCTCGACTATGTGTTTATTGACTCCTGATATTCTTTGAATAAAGACCAAATCCCAATGGAAATAAATTCGATTCCCAGTGAAGGGGCTCTGTTCTTTCCCAGATTTGAGGGATCTACTGGATTAACTTAGTAAAGAGGTAGCCTGGCTGACAGTGTGACCAGTACAGCCTTATTCTCAGGGAAGAAGCTTTGCCCTTTGGGCCAAAGACCATTTGCCAAATTGGCTGGCACTCATTCACATACACTGTCTGGGCACAGAAAGGAGCTTCCCAGGAAGTCTGGAAGGCTCATCTGAAGGAGCATGTGTGTCCTGTCCAAATTGCAGAATAGCTATCAAATTAGGGTATCCTGGGTAATCATTTGACTTTTTACAGCTGGAAGTCTACTCAATTCAAATAATAATAACAGCTAAGCTTATTTAAGGGCTTTCCTGTTATGTCAGGCACTATTCAGATGGCTATAGTGTACCACCTCATTTACGGCCTACAGCAACACTCCAAGGGAGGTCCCCATGATCATCCCCATTTTACAGATGGGGCACCTGAGGGCCAGAGAGGTTTAGTAACTAGCCCAAGGTCGCACAAGTAGCAAGTGGAGATGCTGGGATTTGAACCTAGATTTCTGGCTTCAGGCCATCAGGTCTACATTACTGTATAGCAAAGTGGACAGCCAATTAACCACAAAAAATGTTGGGATTTCTATGGGGGGGAGTGGGGGGCTTTACTCTGGAGATACGTTGTGTGTGTGTGTGTGTGTGTGTGTGTGTGTGGCTGTTTTATCTCTATGAATTCCCCCTTTTTTTTGGACAGATAACTACTTAGTTCTGGACTTGGAAGTGAATGGTCATAGCCCGCTGCCGCCCTGCACAGCTGAGGGACATCCCACCAGCAGCTGCAGTGCCTTTCCCACTAATGCCCTCCCTGTAGGTGTGGGGGCAGCTGTGGTTTTGGTTAGGGCTCCTTCTTCCTTGAGAATTGCTGCTTTGGGTCGTGTAGAAACAGCAAAGAATTGAAGTGCCTAAAACTTCCAAGTGGGAGGTAAAGAGGTACTTTAGATTTACCTTAAGATGTGCAATTTTATGTCATTTTTTCTTATAACTGCATGTTTGTAAGGACTGATTTTCTAAACACTCTTAGAAAATCCTGGGAGGGAGTTGCTCTGGTAAGATAAAGCCCATGTACAGAGGGTGTATGTGCACCTGTTTGGGTGGGGGAAGCACTGTTTGATTTCTAAGGAATATGCTTCAGGATGTTGCCGTTTACAGATTTCCCGTGGTCTCTACACTTTCTATCCATTGCCCCTTATAGGAAATTACGTTTTACTCACTTTTTATTGTTCGATATTAAAAGCACTGTCATTTGTCAGTTCAACTTCAATGAATTTTTTCCTTTAAGTGAATTTTTAAAATTCAAAAGTATTTATTGGATATATTTTGTACTGGTCCTCCCCAGAGTCACCTCTGAGGCTGCTATGAGTTTGGCGCGCCTCTCCCAGGCCTGTTTCTGTGTTCACATATATGCCCATGGAGAATGAAAGTGTGTCCACCTGCACACATTTGTTAAAGGGCTCACACCTATATGTTGTTTTGCTGTTTGCTTATTTACTTGATGACATGGCTGAAGGTTCATTTTTAAGTCTAATTTTGCAAGGTTAAGGATCAGTGATGGGGTAGGTTAGCTATATAATACTGCATGAGGTTCCGAAGAGATGGACCAACAGGGTACTCCATCTGTACTCCATAGAGATCCTCACGTCTCTAGCCCGAAATAATTTAGCTGCACAAGGGAAGGTGGAGGGAGGCGGGTCTGTGGCCAGGCACAAGGTCTCAGGTTGGTGGTTCACCAGGTGACACCAGAAGGGCTCTCTGAAGAGAAGGTTGAGAACTCCATTGAAAGGGGCCATTCACTGGATGCTGAGAGAGGGAGAAGAGAGAAAGGGGTCCGATGTCCAACGGTGTGCCCACTGACTGCCTGTCCACTCAGGGAGGCACCCTAAGGAGGCCCAGGGGTAATGATATTTCCAGAAAGATCCATGCAGGAGGGCCATGAGCATAAGGGCAGCTGTGGGCCCCCAGAAGCCTCCCACAGTGCAGGTCCAAGTCTGGAAACTAGAAGTAGCAGTGCTTTGGGTGAGACTGGATGCGATTAAAGAGGTTTCCAACCAGATGAAAGGAATGCGGCCCCAACAGGCATCAAAGTAAGTGACAGGCAACGGGCTGGTGTGGGGATATGGAGGATCTGGCTTTGGAGAGGTTCAAGAACAAAGAGAAAGTGCTCTTGTGCTAAACTGTGGGCGGCGGCAGAGGAAGCAGGTAGGAGGTGTTGTACTAATAGGAACGGGGAAATTCAAGATTAAAGAGGGCTTTGAGAAAACAAAAAGGTATTTTCCTCCTCCTTTTGATCAAAATTAACGTGGTGGAGATCACGTGGTGCCTCTGAAAAATGTGAGATGGGGCCGAGTGGGGAGGCTGGGGCAGAAAGGCTGATCATTTGGAATCTGCAAAGAAGGGAAACAAGCCGCTTCTGCCAGGGCCTCAGATACAGAAAGAAGAACATTCCAGGTCCATCCTAGGCTCTTCAGTGGGCAGGATGGGGACAGGGGGAAGGTCCAGTGGCACACGGGAGGGGAGTGGTCTTAGGAAATACTGAGAATTGCCCTGGAAGGAGTTAGGTCCATCCTAGGCTCTTCAGTGGGCAGGATGGGGACAGGAGGAATGTCCAGTGGCACACGGGAGGGGAGTGGTCTTAGGAAATACTGAGAATTGCCCTGGAAGGAGTGTGTGATTTAATATCACATAGGCACGGCCGCTAAGGAGCTTTAAGAAAATGCCCCTGGAGGAAGTCACTATAGCCTGAAGTGGTGGCACAGGTGAGCGAAGCCATAGGACGCAGCAGGGGGTGCAGATGTGTAGAACTGGGACTCAGACTGAAAGAAAATAAGGGATGTCTCTAGGTGGGGAGGGCCCAGTGGGGGCTTGGAACTATTGACCAGTTCCATCACTCACATGCTTATCAGGATAAATTCCAAGTGGATCTAAGATCTAAATGTCAGGAAAAATAAAAAACAAAAAAACATAAAATTACTAAAGACACTTCAGAACCCTGGGAGATTTCTTTGATCATGTGGAAGTAGTAAAGGATATTCTATGACATGACACCCAGTAGCCATTGCAGAAAAGACTGGTGAAATAGACTATGAAAACAAAACGAAATGAAACAAAAAAAACCCCTCTGTCTCATAAAATCACTAGAAGTAAAAAGACAAATGAAATAGTGGGGAAAATACTTAAAACTCAAATCACAAGGAGCAAATTTCCTTAATTATAAAAAGGTCCTAGAAATCAGTAAGGAATTCAGAATAAATAATAAATCAGTAAGGAATAAATAAATAATAACCCATTAGAAAAATAAGGAAAGCAAATAAACAGACAGTTCACAGAAAAGGAAACAGAAAGAGCTTTGAAACACATGAAAAGATACCCTCACTCATCATAGAGAAGAATGCAAATTAAAACTACATTGAGATACCATTATTATTTATCACTTGGGCAAAGATCCAAAAGTTTATTATCACCATGTTCGTGAGTCTTGGAAACAGGCCCTTTACACACTGTTGGTTAAGAAGGTAAACAAGTGTAAATTCCACGAAGGCAACGTGGCAATAGCAACTGCCAACATTACGAACGCACGTCTCTTTGACCCAGCAATTCCACTTTTGTGAATTTATCCCGTGGATATATTCCCACACATTTAAAATGACTATACAGAAGGTTATTCATGGCAGAGTGTTCTGCAGTGGCAGAAGAATAGACAATCACTCTGTCCCTCACCAGGGGACTGGTAAACACCTGGTGTCTTATCCACACAATGCAATTCCACACAATTGTAAAATGGTGAGGAATAAGCTCCAAGATATTTTAACTATTTTAAAAAAACAGGGCTGGCCCATGGCTCACTTGGGAGACTGTGGTGCTGACAACACCAAGTCAAGTGTTAAGATCCCCTTACCGGTCATCTTCTAAAAACAATGGTGAGGAATAAGCTCCAAGATATTTTAACTATTTTAAAAAAACAGGGCTGGCCCATGGCTCACTTGGGAGACCGTGGTGCTGACAACACCAAGTCAAGTGTTAAGATCCCCTTACCGGTCATCTTCTAAAAACAAAAACAACAACAACAAAAACAAACAAACAAACAAAGAAGAGATGGACATTTCCTCCCTACCTTCCTCTCCTCTTCCTCCTTTCCCCCCCCACTATTTATTTAACAAATGAGTTTATGCTTCTTACTGTGTTCCAGATATAGTAAAGAGCTTTACAAATATTAACTCATTTAATCTTTGTAATAACTCTAGTGGAAATCCCTATTTTGCAAATGGGGAACCCAAGGCAAATAGAGGTTAAGTAATTTGCTTAGAGACCATGTAGGTAACATGTGGTAGAGCTGAGATTTGAACCTAGGAAGTCTGGCTTTACTATCTATGTTTTTAATCATTCCACTACTTTGCCTACCATGCTGTGATATGCATCCACAGGGAAAAAATGGCAAAAATTACACACGCATACATACATTTTGCATACATATACGTAAAATATTTCTGCAAGAACA